TGGTCAGCGGTGGTGACCAAAGCCGCCAAGGTCCCTTTTCAACCGGGCATTCTGGTCGAACACCTGGCAACCCTAGTTTGGGGTGGATACATATCCACGCTGCTCCTTTTTCTCACCCGTATTCCCTTAACCCCATGTGCCTTGCAGCTACAGTGCCCAGTTCACAAGGCTCCATGGGCCGTGTCAGGCACACTAAGAAGCACTGCCATGGGGCAGTACCTTGTTAGGTAGCCTCTGTCGTTCTTCTAAACTCAATAGGTTTCTTTGGATGTGCTCTTCAAGTTTAAAGAGGGCAATAAAACTGATATAAAATTTAAGAGCTACACTATATCTTTACTCCTTTTCCTCTTCTCTATGAAATTCTGACAATAAAGCCTTTTCCGTGGGTTTCTGTAAATGACAGTTCTGAAAATTTAATTGGCCCTTTTAAACTGGTGCCCTGAATCAGTCACAGCTGGGCAATCGGATGGGCATCAATTTCATCTGTCTCTTCCATGGACAAAACCGAGGCTCCCTTTCTCACTCTGAAGGATCCCAACTCCACATGGACTCAGGTCTTTTCAGACAGGGTTGAATCCTTCATATAGATTTAATGGAGAGGAAAAATTGACCCAGAGTCTCTGTAGTGGAAACTTTGGTTACAGTTTTGAGTATTCCTTTCGACTCTCCCTAGGTCTCGATGACTTAACTACTTGGCTTCATTATTCCTGCTGCCAAATCTTCACAGCTTAGTCTGGTGGAGAGATTACTGTGCCTTTATAACACTCTGTTTGTCATCCTCCCGATAGCGTCTACTCGCCTTCTCCAATCTGTTCCACGTTCTGCTTGTCACTTTCACATCACACTGGTTAAGCCTTTATTTTGTGCTCTGACAGCTCCCACTTAAACTGAAGATTTATTTTAAGTTTTTATCACCTACCCTTAGAACCTTATGAGCAATCAACCTGCAGGAGTATTTATAGTGCACAGTGTTCGAATGTTCAGCTTGTAGTGATCTGATGTACAACATGGCCTCTTTTGGTACCGATCTACCCATTACATGTTGTAAGCTTCATCCTTTGTTTGGTGGCACTCCTCTTCTAATGACTGGCAAGCTATGGCTTGCTTAAAAGCAAATCCAATCCATGCTTTTGTTTTCCCCTTAATTGTATTGCTATGTGGTCTATAGCTGGCTCTTATCTATGTAAAGCACTTTTATCTGTGTGAAGAATGGCGCCTACATTTAATAAATAATAAACTTATTGGAGTAGTCACCTTTTTTCTGCAGATAACCTTTCCCTTTATCTCCCCCCCCTGAGACTTGCTTCAGCTGTTCACAGGAGTTTGAAAATAAACTACTTCATGCAATTTTAATCTCTTGGTCATTCAGCAGATTCTTCAGAAATGGACCGATGGGAATATACTATGTTGTGTAAAAAGTAATATCGGTCACCAGCGGTCATTCCTGGTTGAACAGCCATCACTGCTCTCAGCCTTTGCTGTGCCTCTTGGAAGAATTTATTGTATGGCTGCAACTTCGCAGCTAAACTCACTAAACATTACCTTTGGTTGGAATGCAGTTTCTTACACTTTTGCATGTGCAGCATTGACGGGTAGTAATTTGCTAGTGACATGAACAGCTCAACTTTCAATTACCGTGAAGAGACTTAATAAATCTTACACTTTAATCTTGTTTGCTTTGCTTCCATCAGAATAGTAGCTCAACCTTGACCCAATATGCACTGGGCTAAATCAAGTGCCCAGGGTGAAGAAGACTTGGTAACATTTTTACCAGTATCAGGAGGTGGCCGTGTTAGTCTGTATCCACAAAAACAACAAGGAGTCCGGTGGCACCTTAAAGACTAACAGATTTATTTGGGCATAAGCTTTCGTGGGTGCCACCGGACTCCTTGTTATTCTTACCAGCGTGTCTCACCCTCACAGGGGCGTGGTATTCCGGCTGGAGGAATGGTAGGTGCCCAGCAAGATGCTACCTTGCGTGCTTTCAGCTCCAGCATATACTGACCAGGGATGCGTTACTCTTTTCTAAGGAGTGAGGATGGGCGTGTTGCTGTCCGGTGTGACTTGCCTACTCTGCAGTGCTCCGAGGCATCCTATCTTGCATCATTAGGATGGCTCTTGTGACAAACACGCTGCCAGTCCCCTGTTCTGCTTTCCTATCCACAACACCTAGTGCAACTTCTACTGGAGAGGCAGGATTTTGCCTTTAAGCTCAGGAAACAGACTTGTGACAGATTGAACTGAAATGCAAAAGAAGGGAGGTACGGGGGAGGGGGGAGATCTATACTTAATGTATGCTTTTAAAATAACCATTTTATAATGCCTGTAGTTCCTACAAAGTCAAAGGATTCGTTATACGGAAACCCTACAGGATTCTTGCTGCATGATCAATAAGCTTCAGGCTGGACAGGTTCCAAAATCTACTTGTCCTTGTAAATGAGTGCAGCTCAGGATCATGAACACTGATTGAACACCTCTTTAGCTTTATGCTAAGAGCTACTTTCAGTCTTGGAATAACTCAATTGACATCATTTTACCCCAACGTTCAGTTTGTCCCAAGTACTTGGGGATGATTTGATTAAATAAACTGGGTAAAGGTTTCTGGCTTTTGGCATAATGAACATAACACTCAGCTGTGTATATTGTACAAGGATAGAAAGCTTCCTGGCCAGCCAGCCATTGGGATGTAGTGGTACCTGAATATTGCGGCCAGCTGTAAGAACGGATCACATCTGAATTCTTGCGTCACTGCTTTCCTAAGCCTATCAGTCTGTTTTAAAAAAAAAAAATTTCTCCAGTAAACTTTCCAGGTCTCTTGTGAATTTGTCTTTAATTTCTTGCGTAGAATCAATTGCAGATGGAGGGAACTGTAATCAGCATTTTAATTACAGCGCACAGCTTGAATCTTATTAATATTCTAAAAACAAGTAGCTGGAGCTAAACAGTGTTAGGCCAGAGATGGAGACTAATGTATTTTTCCTGTTCTATTCAGTGTTTCAGCTACTGAATCTTTTTAGCCTATAATTATGAATATGCCAATCCATACTCCAATAATGTTGAGCAGCTGTAAACCTGTAGCTGTTAAGCCTTTGTTGCTAACACATCACTTTTTATTTCTGGTAAATCCAACATGGGAGCAATGGATTAGGAACAGATAGTACACTAAATTAGTTGCAGTCGATACCTGGAGGAATCATCACCAAAGATTTAGAAGTCTTCATGAATATTAAATATCAAGACAGTCATTTCATTCATTCTTATCAGAACAGAGCTTGGTGAAATGTTGAAAACTGAATACGGACTCCTTGGTGCAATGTTATAATTTCATCATTTTAAAAAATAGAATCTGATTAGTTCATTAAGAGTAAATCAATTTTTTCTGGAAATAAGCAGCCTGCTAATTAATGTTCATCCATATTTAGTGAAACATAATCAAGGTAACCTAGATACGGCAGATCTACTCCAGGATTTCATTTGCTTTTCTTTTCGTTCTTGCGCACTGTTCTGCATTAGAAAATGTTTTTAAAGCAACAGTACATTTGCATACTTTGGGCCATATGTTCCCATTGTTGCATACCAGAAATCACAGCAACTTGCTATAAAACCTGCCTTCATGTTCGAAGCGTGAGCCAAGCCCACCTGCTTCGCACTCACCAAACCAACTTGAAACACAGAAAAGGTCCAGTGTAGAATATCTGCAAAAGACTTGCCAGCTCCCTGAAGAGGGTGTGGCCAGATGCACCAAAGAAGTCAAGACAAAGGCAAATCAAAACCGAAACCCTGAAAACAAACCAAAA